CCTGCTCTCCTGCTCCTACAGTGACGTTCTACGGCGCAAGGGTCCCAAATTTCGCACCATCTATCCACTTGCGCCGATCCACCCATTGGTATCCCGCCAACAACGGGATTCTTTTCACCAGCACCCACAGCAGTACCCTTCAGAGAAGCAATGGACAGCTGATACCGTGGCCTATCCATTGGCAAGGTCGCCAACGTCGCCACCATTCACATTAACGGACTCTCAATACCTGTCTAATGATGTTTTGGAACCGCTTGCCCAGCTCCCTCCCCCGGAGCTAGTCTCCTCTCCAGACTCAACGAACTCCCTCTCGGACTCTACAATCGGCATTATTCGTCCCTATGCAAGGCGCCTTTCAGCCCCCGTACTCTTAGCTCACGTCAATGTGTACCTCAAATACCTGTTTCCCATCATGCCAGTAGTGCGAAGGCAGGAGCTCCAGCGAGATTGCCATCGACCCGAGCTACTTTCCTCGCAGAGGTATGCATTTCTGGCATCTCTATGCGCAGCCACGCATATACAGCTCAAGTTGGACGGAACGACTTCTGTGCCCGACCCCTCGCATTTTCCGACTGGAGCCGAAGGCCACTCGTGCATGTCTGGAGAGGAGTTGCTGGCCGAGGCGGTCCGAGCAAGGAAAGACTGCGATGTGGTGGAAGATCTCAATATGGACAGTCTCTTGACATCATTCTTCCTCTTTGCTTCCTACGGCAATCTAGACAAACAAGACCATGCTTGGTTCTACCTTTGTCAGGCTACCTCCATGGTTTTCACGCTAGGTCTGAACCGCGAATCAACTTACGCTGAGTTGAGTGTCGAAGAAGCCGAAGAGAGGCGGAGAGTCTTCTGGCTGCTATTTGTGACAGAAAGGTAAGCGAGTATGATGTCGCAGCGTGATGAGAACGAAGGGGTCTGATTATGACTAGAGGCTATGCACTTCAACAGGCTAAACCGGTAATGCTACGCAACTCCATTCACAAACCACAAGTCCTCTGCTCCGAAGACCCGATCCTCGCCTACGGATTCATCAATCTCATCAGCATCTTCGAAAAACTGTCCGTCAATCTCTTCGACTGGATATCCGCCGGCGGCGTGGACAGCTCTTCCGAGATCCCACCCACCTCCGCCATCCAGTCCAGTCTCTGCAAAACGGTATCTCTTGAGGGGGTGTCAGAGATTCAGAAGGTTGATATACTCATCACCCAGCAGTGGCTGCAAGCCATGATGTGGAAGCTCTCCATGACCCGCCCCACCCAGCCCGGGTCTCGCGATGATGCAGTCCTCCCATTTCACCTGCCAGTCATGGTCGGAAAGGCCGTGATGAACGTCATCAGCGCAGCATCTCAAGACGCCGTTGATGCCCACGGCATCGGCATGGTGAGTCAAAAGCCCCCGAGACAAGCCCATCCCCCTAACAGTTATCTTCCCCCCCTCCTTCCCCATCTCCCCCTTTCCACGCCTTAAAAACCACTCACGTCGTTTCTGTTTATTAGGAACAAAAACTCTTCGACCTAGGCACCGCCGTTGCCGACGTCACACGATCCCTAGGCTCCGGCTCCGGCTCCGGCTCTTCAAGACCCGCGAACTGGCTCACCGAATCCGCCGTCGACCCCCGCGAACTCCTCTGGGGAATCCTCACCACCCTCTCCCGCATCCGCGGCTCCCAGTCCCACCTCTTCCCCACGTTACTAGAGCGCTGCAAAGGCGCCCTCGACTTCACCTCCCCCCTTTCCATGGGCGAGTTCCTCGCCCTGCCTGCACCACCACCGCCCCCTCCACCGCCACCGCCATCCATCAACAGCAACAACAACAACAACAACCCCTCCGAATCGTGGAACGCGGAGACCAGCGCACTCGATATCGTCGCCTCGTTACCGGAAAACCTCAATCTTCAAGATGATCCCGATGATGGAGACACGCTGTCGCAGATTCTGTCCCTAGCTTCACAGATCGAATTTCGGGCTGGAAATGGAGGGGCCGGTGAGTGTGCGTCATAAGTGAAATTCGCATAGTTGTGGGGACTTCTCCCCGCAATGACTGAGTGTGTGTGGCATGGTGAATTTGGTTGGGTCTTTGTGCTTGGACTTGACTGTGATACCACACCTTCTCAGCTTATACATATACATACATACAAAGGCCTCGAGTAATGAACATAATGATTTATGGTTTGTAGGAGATACTGATCTTGCGAAATATCCTGCTATGCCAATAGACTTCAATCCCGCCGTTATGAACCGACTCACTGCTCAAGGCGATGCGAAATGAACAAGACAGACCTAACCTTTCTATAATTGATGATAAAATGCATGACCAACAATCTCGGCTCTAAGCAGAAACAAGGCAGAACTACGTAGACATCTAATATGATAGGAACAATTTTCAGGGCCTCCAAAGAGAAGGAACACAAAGAATGATAATCAGTGTAACCAAAAACCGTCCGTGGCAGAAAAACTTCAATCGTGTTGCTATACATAAAATATGACGGCTAAGCGTCAATAAACGAAAACCTATACAAATAATGGGTATGTGCCAAATCCAGCTCTAGCCTTGGATAGCACGTAATCACATGGGACAAAGGCAAGGGGAAACAAAAAGTTCATGATCTATGCGCCGTTATAATTATAAGTGTGCCGCACTGATGTGCGGATGGATCCACGTATTGTCTCGGTGAAGCACAGGACGTGGTCCGTCGTCCAAGAAAAGCAGCAGGCCGGTGCTGGGTATATGACGACAATTTGAATGTGCTGAAAAAGGAGTGATCAATGGAGTGAAGGTAGAGCATTCGCATCTACTCTTTTCGCCAGATTAATTCCAAAACCTTATCACCGAGCTCAGGGTCCCGACGGATGTACCATTGGCGGACCTGGTTGCCATCGACAATTGCATCTTCGTGGATATAGCTGATCTTGCCTTCATCCTTTGGTCGGAGTGGGCCAAGTTCATGCAAGAAGGACTCAAAGACTGCGCCATTGTCGCCGGCCCATGTGAGCTCCATCGACTTGTCGCCCGTGGGGACGTCATTGCTGTACTTGACGATAGAGAAGCCGTTGGTGAGGATCCAGCCGTCGCCGAAGTGCCATTTTCGCAAAAGACACGAGTCGCCACAGACCTCACTGACAACACCCAGCTTGGCCATGTCGGCATTGAACCACGACTTCCAGTGATGAACGGAGAGCGGCGGGGGTCGAGCAGCCTCAAAGAAACCAGATACATCACCCCTCATATCGATCTGTCGCAGGCGGTGATCAATAGTCAAATGGGCATCCGAATACTGGTAGATGCAGAGGGATATCTTGCGATCTCCCGTAGATTCCATTTTTTGACAATCCTCGTAAACCTCTTTACGGCCTATTTGCTCGATCAGGGGTCTAGACATGAAGACGCCAGCGCCTCCGAAACCCATCAAACCGAAGATTCCGACTTGGGGCATCGCTTCCGATAGCCCACCAACATAGGTCTGTGCTGAATCATCATATTTCGATAGAGCCTGTACCAGCGCCGTCATCGAAGGGAAGAAAGTATCGTCATCGATGACACAGGTCCATCTCGTCTGCGGCCGCAGATTCTTGGCCAAATGTGGCACTAACGAGAAGTATCGATGCTGGTATTCTTCAGTCGATTCGGTTACCGAGAGGTTAACACCTAAGTTCTCCGCCTTAGTGAGGACTTCATTGATCCGTGCATCTGGCTCGATGAGTGCCAAGATGCGAGCGTTCGTATGTCCAGCCCAGTGGGTGAATGCGTCTAGCGACTCGTTCAGACGCTCTAATGTTGTAGCAACGCCGAAGTCAATGTGGGATGCGTCCGCCCTTGGTAAGATCGCAGGTACAGAGACAGAAACAGGACGAGGCATTAAGCAATCATCCTGATGCATGCTATCTTCCGCAAACCGATGGTCCTTGTGGATTTTCTCGAAAAGAGGCACTTCGAGTTTTTGTGCGATGGGAACGACGTCACTCGAGGAAGGAGAAGCGACAATTTCACGGCGGACATATTGAGAGAGCTTGCGAACGTCGAGGCGTTGGAGGGCATCGAAGTCGGGTTCGCATTCGACTTCGGAGGTAATGGTGATATTTGAGATCGTCTGAGTCGTGATTTCGTGGTGAGGTTCGATCTCAGGCCAGAGGAAGATCGTAAAACTGGTCACAAGACAAGCTGCGACCACAAAGCGCAGCAATTTTCTCCTCCACATGTACGAGGCGCCCATGGCGGTCCGCGGCTTCTCCTCAGTCTTATTCCACATCTGGGTCCGGAAACGTTATATCGTAGAAAGGGAATAGTATTGAATCTAGACGCCGCAATGAAACTGCAAGACCATCGCGATGCTCCAGTGATAGTGGGAGAGGAAGAGGTAGAACGGTGGAGAATATGGCAGGAGAGGCCTGGTCCAGATGGGAGGGCGGGAGCGGGCGGCAAAGGAGAAGAGGAAGGCGAGGGCGGAAACACAGGATATAACAATCGAGGCAGGAAGGAGAAAAGAGCAAACGATCCTTGAAATCCGCAACGATGAAGGAGGAAATGACGGGCAGCGTCGGAGACAGGCGAGGACGGCAGAGGGATGACGAAGGTCAAAAAGAAAGCGACGACGACAACGTCAACCCTGGGCCCGGTTAACCGTCAGGTTAGTGGAAGAAGATATGGAGTGGGAAGGTTGATAGCCGATCAACGGGGCCCCGAAATACCATTGCAGCAAGAACAAGCACCGCACGGCTAGAAAATGGCCGCATCTGACTGAGGGACGAAACAAATCATGGCCGGGCGGAGAATGGCTAACCCAGGGATCGACTATGGGCCAGTCTGGTTTCCTTAAGGCCCTGGAGAGTAGCGGATGGAGACCGATCCATCTGCTGTCCAGTGGTCTATCGAATGAGAATTCATCAAGCCATCAGGGCACACCTGCTGGACGGAGCAGCCACACAACATGTCCCACTGTCCACAGGGGCCGATCGGCCTAGAGACCAGTGCTAGGAGATTTCCCTGAGGTGACAGTCTCCCCAGGGTTACGTTCTTGAATTAGGGGTCTTTCTGCGCTTTCCCCAAACATCCTACTCCATTGCCCCATTGCACAGTGCACATTTGCACCGTAGGATGGGATGGATGGTCAGCTTGCCCTTTTGTCTTTGTCTTTTTTTCCCTTTTTTTTTCTTGGTGGCAGAGTACACATGGATAGGATGGAACCGGGACAGGAGAAGGAGGGAAAGAAACAGCTTTCTCCCACTTAACTTTCCACCCCCAACCTCCCCCCCACCTATTCCTATTAATGTGGCCGCACCGCTACAACCCCTGGGTACAACCATGTATTTGACGCGCATTCCGTTTGGGGCGAAGGGCCTAAAACGGACGGCGGGGGCGACGGATTGCTGATGACGAATCGCCGGCGCATAACAGCGATTAGATAGCGTTCCGCATGAGGAATCTATTATGGACTCTAGCAGCGTCAGCAGCGCCGAGTGGTAAACTGTACACTGCTCTAGAGAAGAACACATTGCTACAGTACCTGAGTGTAGGGTGATTATGTGTCCAGGGCCCCTTGTATGAGTAGAGAGAAGGTCGGTGGTATTAATCGCGCCCGTTGCAACTCGAAGTAGGATCATCGCAAACAGCGCCCCGGGTAGGGAGGACAATCCGGACAATGTCTTGTTCCGGCCTCCTCGCCTGACGTCCTCAAGTCAGTCATGTGCTTCATGGCCACAAGTCTTTTTTTTTCGCTTGGTGGGCAGGAGATTATTATTGTTCTTATGGTGTCGGACAACAGCTGTTGAAAATAATAATAGAAATACAATTCTTCGATCTGAACCGATTGATTGGCTCTTGTTGTCTGTGCGCGCCGCCACGCAGTAATCTGATGGCCTCGCTCTAATTAAGCAGTCTCAACTCAAAGAATGCGTATGAACCATAGGCTGGATAAGCATGTCGGTCTGTCTGACATTCAGTGACCCTGAAAAGTAAGGGGCATTTGGTCTAGAACCTCGTCAAAAGCAGTGAAGGCGGACTATCTGAGAGCCACAGCAGTCACATAGTATTGCTATTGTGGGGGGGGGAATTGAATTGATGAAGTGGTAAGGTATGCCTGGCACAGACTGAATGTTTTCGCCTCCGTCCCTTGAATTGTAAGGAAGCATTGCTGTCAACAATCCCACAAAGCTGGACTGGCATTTATCAATGTCCTGATGTTGAGTCCTCGCATGATTATGATGGTCGGAGGAAAGGCCGGGGAGATGGGCTACGGCCGCCTAAGTAAGCCTCTAGTGCAGAATTCCCCGATATGGAAATATCACACTCCCGCACAGATGGTTCACAAGCTTGGACTGGCCACTTGGAAGATCAAGCATATCCAGCTCATTATTCTTCAGATTCATACACTCCATAAGAACCGCTTGAGTGGAAAATCTTTGATATTATCTCACCTCAAAAACTACGCCCATCTTGGGCTACTGCGAATCACACCCCGGGTGACACGTTGGTTAATTTGACACGGCATCGCCATGGCTGCTCAGTCATTGAGTTCGTTGCTACAACGAGCCTCCATTGATGACCACGAAGAAGTCCTTCAGTCCTCCAACGCTGCACTAGCCAAGTCGAGAGCCGATCAGCATGCCCAGCATATCAAGGTCATCGCTCTGACAAAACTCGACCGCTACGCTGACTGTCTGCGCGTGTTCGAGGAAGCTGGTGACGGCTTGAAGACCCGGGCCGCTCTGGAGTATGCCTATGTCCTCTACAAGTCAGGCCAGCCGGAGGAGGCCATAGAAGTAGTATCCAAGGTGACTGGCAACCGTGGTGCTACTCACTTGGAAGCTCAAGCCGTATGTTACCCTTGCATGTGTTTCATACCTTGACCTCAACAATAGGTGCTAATCTCTAACTTGCGAAATCACAGAGCTATCGCGCTGAGAGATTCAGTCGCGCCGCCGAATTATACGAAGAACTGTCGAAAGATGGAGCCTCAATGACCAACGAGGAAAACGATCTGCGCATCAATGCCTGGGCTACGGATGCACAGCTGCAGTGGAAGGGATATCCCGAGTTCGTTCGCCATAACCGACCGACCCGTGATGATTTGGAGGCATTTGAAACCGTGTACAATGCTGCATGCTTGAGCATAGCGAAGGGCGAATTCGAGCAAGGAGAACTGCTTCTGAAGCGAGCAAAGGGTTCGTGTTTAGAAAGGATATACAGAGGCGATAACGATTGCTAACCCCTCCTCGTTACACAGAACTGTGCCGCACGTCAGAAGATCTCACCCCGGAGGATAGAGACGCCGAACTACTCCCAATTGCTGTGCAGCAGCTGTACGTTCTGCTTCGGCAAGGCAAGTCCGAGGAGGCTCAGTCCATTTTGGAGGAGATCTCCGTCAAGGAGTGCGCATACCTTCCCTGGTCAAACTATCCCAAATTGAAGCTTACCCGACCGTAGTATTCACGAAGCTTCGACGAAGAAGATCGCACAAACCAATGTCACCCTCGCCCGCGGCGCCTCGGCCAACCCTTATGCATTCTACAAGGCCTTCAACGAGATCCCAGACTCGACAGAGAGCGACAAGCTGTTCGACTATCAGAGCCACCTGACGATCGGCAACTCGCACGCCGCCGACCTCCTTGTCCGCAAATACGACGGCATCATCCGCTCCACCTCCAAGGCCCTCTCTCGAGCCGCCTACCCCTCCACAGAACCGAGCGCCAACCTCCTCTCGGTGTACAACGCCGCCGCTCACGCCCAAGGTGAATCCGGCACGAAAGCGCTCAAGCCCATCGTAGCAGCGCTGGACAAACGGCCCAAGGACATGGGCCTGGCCCTCACCGCCGTGCAGCTCTACGTCGGCGCGGGCAACACCACCTCTGCGATCACCACTCTCGAGGCCACCCTTCAACTCCTCGACGAGTCCATCTCCGAGCAAGACAAGGAAGTTCGATTTAACCCGGGCGTTCTGAGTGTGCTTCTCTCCCTCTACAAGCTCGAGGGCCGCAAGGTCCAGATCCGCTCTGAACTGGCCAAGGCCGCCGCCTACTGGCAGCAGCAGCGGGAAGGCGCCAACCAACCGCCGCCCGTTCCCCTCCTCCGCGCCGCCGCCGCCTCCCTGTTGCACTCCACCGACACCTCCGACCTCACCAAGGCCGGCGACCTGTTCAAGTCTCTCTACCAGTCCAACACCGGTGACAACTTCGCCGTGGCCGGCTACGTCGCCGCGCAGGCCCCCATCGACTACGCCAAGGTTGAATCCCTGGTCGACAAGCTCCCGTCCGTTGCGGACCTGATCGCCGAGGTGGACCTGGCTGGCCTCGAACAAGCGGGTATCGCGCCTTCGTCGGGTGCGAACGCCGCGGCCGCGGCTGCGATCGCGGGCGCTCGCAAGCGTTCAGCTACTGCCAACCTTAAGGAAGACGGCGGTGCGGCGAAGAAGCGGGTCCGGAAGTCGAGGCTGCCCAAGGATTACGATCCGGGTAAGACCCCCGACCCGGAGCGCTGGCTGCCTCTGCGCGATCGCTCGAACTACCGGCCCAAGGGTCGCAAGGGCAAGCAGCGCGCTGCGGAGCGGACACAGGGCGGTGTTGTGAACGACAAGGGTGAGGAGTTGACTGCGGTCACCAACCAGCCTAAGCCTCAGAGCGGTGGTGGCGCCAACAAGAAGAAGAAGAAGGGCAAGCGGTAGTGATGCGGAACGGTAATTCTTCATGTTTCTTTTTTTTAACTTCTATTCATGAGACATGTCTTGCATTGGCTGGCAGAGAAAAAGAAGAGAGGTCTTTTTAGACACTTTGGAAGCATGTAAATAGAAATTCGGTCAATCTGCTGCTGATGCAACTCCCCCTTTCGCCTTCGAAACAAACAGCAAATTTTAAAGTATGCATATTATTCCTTACATGTGAGACTTTTCCTGCTAAAACAGTATCCCACCCTGAGTATAACCGCGCGTGTTGCCAATTTCCATTGCCTAGCCCAGAGGAGTCCGAATGGTGCCACACTGCCGATCGTACTGCTCGAAGATTTGGTAAAACAGCTTCAGATCCTGAAGCCCATCGCCGGCGGACGTCTTGGCCATCTTATCTTCGGTGAGGTAGGCGTGCAGCGCCTTGAGTTCTGCCTCATAGGTCTCCTGCCACCCGCTCACACGTTCAGTTCTCTTCATCTCCCCATTCTCATCTGCCGTCTCCACCACAACCTTCACAGGCACACCACGAGCGTACGGCAGACCATACTGAATGCTGACAGTCTTTGTGTCACCATAGATTGCAAGGTGTGCATCACAACGCGGCACGGCATCGGTACCCGTCTCGTACATCAGGGTAAATGGGTGCTCGCCCTTCCGCCCACTGTAATAATGGAACAAGGCCGAGTAGTATGGCTCGTTCACAGAGATGTTCGAGATGGCATCGGGAAATCCAAGCGAGTCGCGCATCAAGCCCAGATCATGACAGCCTAGAGAGGCAAGAAACTCGCAGAGCGCGATACGTTCTTTGGTCAGTTCCTGTCCCAAGAACATCTCCTGCAGCAAACCGTGCATGAGCTGCGGGCCACTATCCTTCTTCCTATCCTCCTCCGATGCGAATCCACATACTGCTGCACCATTCAAGGCAGTCCAGAGCCTCTTCCGCGGTGCGGTAGCCGTGTGCGCCAAGCTAGGGCCCGCGATGTTTCGGCAGCGAGCGTAATAGATGCGATCCAGGGACGCAACCTCCTTCCTGAAGACCTCCTCGATACAAGGGGAATAGCGTCGCGCACATGCCACAAACACTTTAGCACCATTGGGGGCACGCTTCTCTGCTTCAATAATGCGCCGTGCACTTTGGATGCTCAGGCTCACGGGTGTTTCGACCATGACGTGCTTGCCAGCATCCAGAGCCGCTATTGTGTAGATCTCGTGATACTCGTTGGGCATGAAGTTGAGGATCAGCTGGATAGATGGGTCGAAGATGATCTCTTCGGCGGATGATGCATGATTGATGTTTTTGATTCGGTTCTCATGGCCATCGGCTATGGTCGTGCCATCTGCGTGATGGCCGTTGATATGGCCGTTAGTGTGACCGTTGGTGTGACCGTTGGTGTGACCGTTGATGTAATGGCCGTTGGTGTAAGGCTTCCTGGTGCTGTTCATCGTCTGCTTGGTATCACCTTTTGGAGCATTGTAGATGGCAGCTACTTGGTATGTGTTGGTAAGAGCGGTAAGGATAGGAAGGTAGATTCCTTGAATGGCTTGGGCGCCTTCGTCTGCGGTGAGGATCCCGACTTGGAGGACCTTCTGTGTCATCGTGCTTCTCTTTTTCAGATATGTGCTTTCGGGTTCCTCTGTATCGGGCTGAGATGCGCTGGATGTTCATGTGTTAGGCTCATGTAGATAGGATCTGCGGACCTTGACTTACGCAGGTAAATCCAATAACTCAATCAGCCGGCACGAAGAGTAGACAGGGCGAGACTCTGGAGATCAAGAGGAGGAGAAAGAGAAGGAGAAGAGGGAAGGCGCATTTTCTGATGTGAAGAGAAAGACAAAGTTCTGAACGGGATGGAGCACTGGCTTCAGGTAAGGAATGCTGGATGCAAGGGATGGACTCGGGTTAGGAGACTACCTGCCTGTTGCAGTGTTAATGTGTTGACCCCCTACAAATCCGGCAAGGAACACGAATTTAGAATCGAGCGTGTTAAGGAAACAACACATGTGACTCGGAAAACTTGAAACTTTTCCAGCTTGGCTGGAGTCCTGCCTTGTGTTATGATAAATTTTCTCGGGCTTGTGAGAGAAAAAGAAAAGGCTGTGATGGCGATATCAGAAGCAAGA